GTCGAGGGCGCCGGACGGCGAACGTGACCGGGCGGGGCGGGGCGGGCGGAGCGGGGGTGGGGGCGGGCCTCGACGGCGGCCGTACCCAGCGCCGTCTGAGCCGCCAGCCTGCTGGGGCGGCCGGGACACGCGGCCGGGGCGCAGCGGGCCAGCCGGTCGGCCGCGGCGGCCGGAGCGTCTGCCAAGGTGACCGGGCTGAGCCGCGGGGCGCCGGCGCAGCGCAGGGCGACCGGCGGCGGTGACGCAGCGACCGCCGGGCGCCGGGCGCCGCCTTCGCGGCGCAGGACAGGGGCGCCGCCCACGCTGGGATCGCCAGGGGAGGGGCGCTAGCCAGCTCCACCGGAGGGGGGGGGGGGGCGGGGCGGGCGCTGTGATGCCGATCGGGCCGGCTGGCCGCTCCTCCGGCCGCGACGGACCGTTCGAGACTCGGTATCAGATACGACGCGCTCTGTCAGGGCTTCAGCTTCAAGGCAGCAGCACAAAATACCACTCCACTTCTCACAAAGAAGAGCAAACGTGTCACCGAAGTGGTTCCTCTGCGGCTCAACTCGAGACTTCATGGAACGCGCGCGGTCGGGGTTGTCGGACAACCCGTCGGACCGTGAGCTGGCGAGGCTAAGCTGAGCTGTCGGCGGGGTGGGGGGGATGAGTGCAATGCTGCCAGCAGAGGCGCGGCCAGCGTTGTACAGTTATTGACTCCAACCCCCCCTCCCCGTCCCTGCCACGAACAAGTGAGGACACCTCACATCGAGCTTGCCGCCCTCCGCCGCGTTTGTTGTCGCGCGTGTCCTCTTCGCCCGCTGCTGTGGCGTCTGCCAGGGAGTCCTGACACTGAGCCGGCTCGGTGTTGTTGCTGAAAAAGTCCTGACCGCAGTAATCCTGGTGATGTCTGATGCGTCCTCGCTGCCACGGCTCGTCTGAGCACGCCGCCAGCGGGGGTCATTGCCCCGCCAGGCAGCGGTCGTTGACCTTGGCGAGCATCGTGTGTGCGGTTTGTTTAGATTAGCCGGGGCTGTCGGCGTGCAGACGGCCTGTGTAGCCCCGCCGAGGGAAGGTGGCCTGCTGTTGCTGCGCCCCTCGAACTGGTCCGTACTGGGCCCCGGATTCGGATCCCGGAATGGCGTTCACATCGTCCCGGAATGGAGTTCGCATGGTACCGGAGGAGGGTTCACATGGTCCCGGAGTGGAGTTGGCATGGTTCCGGAGTGGAGCTCACACGCTCCCGGGATGGAGTGCACACGGTCCCGGGATGGAGATCACATGGTCCCGGAGTGGAGTTGGCATGGTCCCGGAGTGGAGTTCACATAGTCCCGGAGTGGAGTTCACATGGTTCCGGAGTGGGGCTCGGGTTCTGGGTTGGACTATCGCTCACCCTCACTGGGTGCGAAATGAACTTTCACTAGGTGCAGAGTGACGCCCTGCAAGGTTGCTGAGCAGGTTTTTACTGGGTCACGGAGTGAGCTCTGGCCAGAGTCCAGGAGCGGGACCGCTCTGGGTTCCCAGAATGGGTGTGAGGTCCCGGAGTGGACGTTCACTGGACTTCCAAGGCGACTCTCCGCCTACCACAGCGTGTGCTGAGTGTGCTGTGCCGACTCATCAGCCGTCGTCGGCCACGTCTCATGGCCAGCCCTTAGTGAGCCGGGACTGCAGGCCCTCCAATCGAGTGCGGCTCCCGGCTGTGCCGTCGGCAGGTCCAGGGCGCCGGCAGGTCCAGGTCACCGGCAGGTCCAGGTCACCGGCAGTTCCAGGGCGCCGGCAGGTCTGCGCCGCTCGGCCTCGGTCATGTTCAGCGACCTGGGCGACTCACAGGCCCGCCTGCCGCGTCGGCCGCCGCTGCTGAGGCGCGGCACCGCACGTGCGTCAGCAGCGGCGCAGAAGTGCGGCAGGCGGCAGGCGCGGCCGGCCCGTCAGCTAGCCGCGTGCGCGCACAGACTGGCGCCGGCGCGCGCCTCTGACGGCGCCTGCACGTGCTGACCCGGCTGGCCGGCTGTGTCGGGCTGGACAACAGATCGACAAGCGCGGAAGCGAGGACTTCCGCACCGCGCGCGCACGATAGCGGCTGCGGTTCCGCTGCGGACTTACTGATGCAGCTGGGTCAGGTCCGTTGATATTCCACGGGTCAGGTAGCGTGATTCATGAAGGACATGAGCTATGTGCGTAGAGACATGGCGCTCAATTTCGGTGGCCTAGCTCTGAACTTCGGCCGAATCATTTGCCGGTCGGTTTTAGGGACCGTACAGCGCGGGATTACGAACCCCCGGCTCTGCAATCAGTTCGCAAAGCTGAGGCCCTGAATTTTGTTATGGATCAGCTTGGGAGAAAAGACCAACCGATCTGAAGCAGGCGCGCTCCGTGCAGTCCGATCCGAAGAGTTCCCAGTTCGTTAGGATATTTTGGGGTGGGTTTCGCCATTTTTCGCCTCTCAGCCCTCCAAAACCTTGCACTGTTCGGCCCACAACTTAATCTACGAAGCTACCGTTGATGTGAAGCCATGCCCATTCTCCTCCATATGTCTTGGGGAAATCTCGTCTCCACGTTTTGTGCATTGTCGCCAATTTTTGTGAATTTGATCCCTACATCGCTGCCATATGGCCTGCAGACTGCGCGGAAGAACAACACCGCAGATGGACACCAATTTCGTACATCGATTGCTCTCCCCCCGCTGAAGTGTGTGGATGATTCGGCGACGTCATCGCCGGACGTGGTTGTTCCTGCCAGCCCGGCTGGCCTGGCCCCAGGACTGGAGCTGGGGGTGGGGGTTGGGGGGGGGGGGGGGCGAGATGGTCTCTGAGACTGTCGTCTCCAAACTGTTACCACGCTGCTGTTGGAATACGCTCTCCGACACCTCTAAGCCATGTACACAAATCGGAACGTTTGCCCTTGAAACACAGCTGACCATCCTAACGCAAGTGATTCTCGTAGCATTAGGGTGCATGGGGTATAGTCGTCTGTTTGATATTTTTTGCCGTGTATATTTTATGGAGGGTGCTGTGCCGGCCGGGGACCTGACCTGCCCGATGTGTGTTTGTGTGGAGTGTGCAGTGTTGATGTAGACCGGACGCGGTCGGCCGGGCACCGCCGCGACCTGTCGCGCCGGGTCAGGGGTCACCGGGTCACCGGGGAGCTGCTCCTCCAGCTGACCGCCTCGGCGTCCGTCTGTGTCGGTGACACATCCGGCCGGTACCGGTGTCCGTGACACATCTGGGTTGGTATCGATATAGGTGATACGTCCGGCCGGTATCGGTGACACCTTCGGACCAGTATCGGTATCGGTGACACATCCGGGGCAGTATCGGTATCGGTGACACATTCGGACCAGTATCGGTATCGGTGACACATCCAGGCCAGTATCGGTATCGATGACACATCCGGGCCGGTATCGGTATCGGTGACACATTCGGACCAGTATCGGTATCGGTGGCACATCCAGGCCAGTATCGGTATCGATGACACATCCGGGCCGGTATCGGTATCGGTGACACATCCGGGGCAGTATCGGTATCGGTGACACATTCGGATCGGTATCGGTGACGCATCCGGGCCAGTATCGGTATCGATGACACATCCGGGCCGGTATCGGTATCGGTGACGCATCCGGGCCAGTATCGGTATCGATGACACATCCGGGCCGGTATCGGTATCGGTGGCACATCCGGCCGGTATCGGTATCGGTGACACATCCTGGCCGGTATCGGTATCGATGACACATCCGGGCCGTTTGATGGCCGACACCGGCTCGGGCTGACCCTTCACGGCCGCTACAGACGTCCGGTCCCCCCCCCTCCCCCTTCTCCTCAGCTCGTGGGGAAGACGCGACTCGGAGCACTCGGTTCACGCGCCAGCGCCGCGCTGAGTCGTGCGGCGCTGAGCGCTGGTTTTCGTCTGGGTGCTGGCCAGAAGGCTATCGGCGATCATGCGTACAGCGTTGGCCCTGTGGTGCTGTCCGCTGCCGCCGACTGGTGCTGTCCGCTGACGCCGACTGGTGCTGTCCGCTGACGCTGACTGGTGCTGTCCGCTGACGCCGACTGGTGCTGTCCGCTGACGCCGACTCGGCCGGCGGAACCGAGGGGACCGCCGCAGGCAGCGTCGGCATCGTGTGTACAGCCGTGCTAACGCGTACCGACGAATCATGCTTGAATGTCACACAACCGCACACCAGCAAAACCACCCCGCTGCCGACCGGCTCTGTGCGCCGGGCCAATCTTCTTTCGAAAGGCGCCCCGTTAACCGGGCCAGTCTTCTTCCGAAAGGCGCCGTGTTAACTGGGCCAGTCATCTCTCGAAAGCCGCCGTGTTAATTGGAGACGTCCTTACCCGAAAGCCGCCGTTAACTGTGCCAGTCTGCGCTCGAATGCCGCCGTGTTAAATGTGCCAGTCTTCACTCCAATGCCACCGTGTGAACTGTGCCAGTCTGCGCTCGAAAGCCGCCGTGTTAACTGCAGTGAAGTTAAGCTCCACCCTTTTGCCTAATACAACAGCAAGACAAAGTGAACTTGTCTTTGGAAAACTGCGCAACGCCTGCGCCGCGTCACCACAGTAAAGTGCTAGCGCGTGGGCGCATGACCACACCCCGTCCATCCTCCTCCATCCCCCACCCCCCCCCCCCCCCCATCACACTCGCAATGACCCAGCGCCCGGGAAGTCTTCCCTGCGGCGGCCGTCCGACGGCCGCGTTGCCCACGTGCAGATGAACGAACGGCGGGTAGTGAACGGCGGCCGAACAAATGAACGGGTGGGGTCGCTTCGCTCCCCCCACTGCGCGTCTGTAAAACCAGAGGTACGGGGTTCGATTCCCCGCGGTGCCCGCCCTTCCTGCCAGGGTGGGAGGCAGGCGACGCCATATAGCCTCAGCAGCTGAGTGCGTCGTAAAGCCCCAATGACACACACACACACACGCTTCGCTCCCCCACCCGTCCTGATGCCGGTCAGGTGCCGGACTGCCTCCACGTGCTGCGACCGGGCCTGTCCGTGTGTGTGACGCGGCGCCCCGCTCCGTTGCAGGCACCCGTATCGTGTACACGGGCCAGTTTCTGAAGGCGCTGCGCGACTCGCCGCTGGCCCGCACGCCGCCGGCGGCCATGGCGCACGTGCCGGGCGTGACCAAGCTGCCGGGCGATCCGCCGCTGAAGTCGGCCGCCGGCTCCGGCTCGCCGCCGCCCGACGGCGCCGCCGCCGCCGGCGACAAAGCCCATCACGGTGAGCGCAGTCAGCTGCTGCTGCAGTCAACTGTTGATGCAGTCAGCTGTTGCAGTCGGCTGCTCAATACTGGCGCGCCTTCGGATGCGTTGTTCAGGCGGGCTGACGATGATATGCGTGCGTGCGTGTGTGCGTGCGTGCATACGTGCGTGCACTTAATATCGCGTTTCGACGACAGATCGTAATCGCGCATTTTATGTGGCAGGTATCGTTCAGGTTATATTTTGCTTGGGTTTCTCCACGTTATATTATGATAACAATGCAGTGTTCTTCGCATGATTCTGACCACATTGTTGGTTCTGCTTGAGGGGGCCTATTAAATAGATCAACTTAAGAATAAGTTACCACCAAAATATGTCTCGTGGAGGACGACAAGGTAGTCAGAAGGATTGCGAAAAAGTGTGTATGCGTGTGTGTGTGTGTGTGTGTTTTTTTTTGTCTTGACAACCCACGGAGACGACTTCGGATCACGTAGTCAACGCTACAGCTGCCGTGTTTGGAGCATGACCTTAGAAATCGCCTCGCCGTTGGGTTTCCACGAGTAATTGCATTATAATGGTAGAATCAAGTTTTGTTTATAAACCAGTGACGGAGTATTTATTATCATGTCTAAGAACGGTGGCAGGAGCTGGAGGGATCCGGCAGGGATCTGGTATTGACAGTCGTTTCAGGCATCGCGTTTTTTCCGACAATGCCCTAGTGTTGAGCTTAACAGCCCGATCCAATGTCGGGATGTAAACCTCAATGGTTTCTTGTTGCTGGACCAAGGGAAAGTTGCCTCTGTCAGCCGATATCCTGAAGGAAAACTCTGACTCTTCGTGGGCGTCTGGTATTGAGCGGTGTGACTCAGTGGCTGGGAACGAGGCTCGTGTAGAGGCACGGTTCGTCACAAGCTCGTCACATGGCTCGCCATGCTCGTCACACAACTTGTCTCGTCACACGGCTCGTCACACGGCTTGTCACGCTCGTTACAAGCTCGTCACACGGCGCGTCACAAGCTCGTCGAAGGCTCGTCACCCGTTCGTCACGTGATTCGTCACACGACTCGTCCGCAGTGCGGACGGCCCGCCGCGGTGTGACGGGAGGGAGCTGTGCCGGGGGGGGGGGGAGGGAGGGGGTCGTGACGACCACTCGCTCTCGAGTACGGGCGGAGCGGCAGCAGCACCAGCAGCACCAGCAGCGACGGACAGTTAATTCGGGCGTTTTGCTGCATCACGGTGTGGTGTCCTGCTCTGTCGAAACTCGCCAGCGAGTTCCTGATGCATCAGGAGCGTCCCATGAGCGTGGCTTCGATCGACCATAGCTCCCCGTGTCCCTCCCCCTCTCGTCACGCCTGGTCGCAACACACGCCGTCGAGACCCCACCCGTCGGCACGACTCCGTTCCGTTCTTCATGACCGTTCCATTCTGTGTATTCATGACTCCGTTCCGTTGTTTATGACCGTTCCATTCTATGCATTCACGACTCCGTTCCGTTATTTATGACTGTCCAATTCTGTGTATTCACGACTCCGTTCCGGCATTTATGATCGTTCCATTCTGTGTATTCACGACTCCGCTCCGTTATTCATGGCCGTTACATTCTGCGTTATTACGACTCCGTTCCGTTCTTCATGACCGTTACATTCTGTGTATTCACGACTCCTTCCGTTATTCATGACCGTTCCATTCTGTGAATTCACGACTCCGTTCTGTTATTCATACGGCGGTTGTAAACGGAGGACGCGGAAGCCCCGCTTTACGCAGCTGTTGTAACGGAGTCTGCGTGCCCAGCTGTGCGTCTACTTCACGCGGCGCCTCGTGCGAATGACGCGTGCCGGCTGTGTTTGTCCTCGCTGGTCGGGTATGACCTCCATCGGCGGTGAACCCTGCCGCACGTGCGCACCTGCTGACCAGCTGTGGGTGCGGCCCCTAGCCAGTGGGGCAGGCCGCGTCGTCTGCCGCTCGGTGCTCCGTTTTGGGCCCACCCCACCTGTCCGCTAGTGGGGCGGGCTCTGCCGTCTGCCGCTCGGTGCTCCGTTCCCCCTCCCCCCTCCCCCACCTCGCCGCCAGTGGAGCGGGCCTTTTCGACTCCCGTGCAGTGCTTTCGGACTGAACCGGAGGCCGTCGTCTAGCGCCGTTGTCGTCCCTTCCTTCTGCCTCGTCACCGTTTGGCCGTGAATGCGGCCGGGGCCGGTTGTGGCTTTCCTTACGCCGCGTCGTATATGGGCCCGGTCAAGGAAGTTGCACGTTTGCACGCAAGAAAGTCGTGTGGGAAGTCGCGTGGGGTTGTTCAACAGCCTGCGCCTGCGGCAGCTCTCGGTTGTGACATCGTCATCGGTTCCGCACGGTGACTAGCGGTGAGATCGGCACCCTCCGCGCTTTGTCGTACGCCGTCTGCCTTGCGTGGGGTATGGGACTGCGCGCTGTGCGCGGACAGGTGGCCCGGTGGGCGTGGCTGCTCCCCAGGGGCGGCCCCCCAGACGGGCCGGCGTTCGTGACCGGTTTTGAGATAGCTGGAAGGGGCTCTCGATGTCTTTCACCGTCGTTCAAGTGTCGCCGTTTGGTTTGTCGCGTCTTTTTCTTCTTTGAGGGACGTAACTTTTCCCGATTTTGCGGGTGGTGGGGACAGACTTAACAATGTTATCGTTTCAGACGCGTTGTCATCAGTGAGCACATAGAACGTAGTGCGCACACGGAGTTCGGAAATTATTTTTTTTCGGCGTGCTGGATCGTTTACAGCAGTTTCGGGTCCGTGCGGATGAGACAGGAGCCACGTCGATACCAGGCTCGAGGGCCATCTCCAGTCTGTCCCGAGCTCCTCCGGCAGTGGTGCTGGCGCCAGAGCCGGGCTGCGGGCTGGATGTGCTGAACTGAGACAGGGCTTCCATCGACTGGCGTGGACCGGTGCCGCGCGGCGGCCGCTGATGCCGGCGTGGTCGTCGGACGCCGCGCCGGTCGCCCGCGCCCCTCGCCCCCCCCCCCCCCCCTCACGCCCAGCAGCCGGCGGCCGGGCGGGGCGGCGCGGCCGGCGCCGGCAGCAGCGGCTGAATCATCGTGACGCGTCCGACCCCGGGTCCGCCGGCGGCGCGCCGCGCCAGCCGCCGCACCGCCGGTCGGGAGCGGAGGTGACGGCGCGGCCGGCGTAAGCCGCGCCGTCAGCGATCCAGTGCGGGGCAGCGCGGGCCAGCGCGGCCCGCGGCGCCCTCCCCGGCTGGCGCGCGGCCTTGGCGACGTGTGCTCGACCCGAGCGGCGGCGGCGGCGGCGTGGCCTCACCGGGGCGTCAGGGCGCAGCTGGGCGGTCGGTTCCGGCCGCCCTGTCCGAGGGGGACGTGTCGCGCTGACCCCTGCGACGTACCCGTCACGCGGACCCCCGTGACGCACCCGTCATGTCCGATGACCTGTGCAGTGCTCTGGCATCAGGGCTGGGGAGCAGCGCGCTCTGTTTGTCACAGAGCGGCCTGAAATGCTGCCGAAGCGTATTCACAGGCGTGGTTAGTTGTGCCAGAATGGCATTGTGCAGCACAAGAGAAGGAAAGGAAAGGAAGGAAGAAAGGGTAACACATAGCTATGTCTTCGTGCATTCAGTGTGTGTGTATGTGGTCATACTGGGGTGTCAGCCAGGTGACACATCGGGGCATGTCTTTGTGCGGACAGCCGCCGACAGCATGGTCGGAACTTCAAAGACGATGATGCGGACCGTGCGGTTCCGTTCAGCCCTTCACTGCCACGTCATAGGCGCCATGTTAGTTTAGTGTACGTTTTGAGCTTCAGTCACAGCCCCAGCTGGCAGCAGGTTCACAGCCGTTGTGGTCAGTGACGACGACATTTCGGCTCTGATTCTGGGGATCCGAGGTCAGCTTTGGAGCCGTGGATCTCTGGTCTGATCTGGAGTCGAGGATCTCTGCTCTGATCATGTGGATCTTAGGTCTGCTTCGGAGTCGGGATCTCTGGTCTAATCTGGAGTCGAGGATCTCTGCTCTGATCATGTGGATCTTAGGTCTGCTTCGGAGTCGGGCATCTCTGGTCTGATCTGGAGTGGTCCGATCTGGAGTCGAGGATCTCTGCTCTGATAGTGGAGCTTAGGTCTGCTTCAGAGTCGGAATCTCTGGTCTGATCTGGAGTCGAGGATCTCTGCTCGGGTCATGTGGATCTTAGGTCTGCTTCGGAGTCGGGCATCTCCGGTCTGATCTGGAGTGGTCTGATCTGGAGTCGAGGATCTCTGCTCTGATCATGTGGATCTTAGGTCTGCTTCGGAGTCGGGCATCTCTGGTCTGATCTGGAGTGGTCTAATCTGGAGTCGACTATCTCTGCTCGGATAGTGGAGCTTAGGTCTGCTTCAGAGTCGGGCATCTCTGGTCTGATCTGGAGTGGTCTGATCTGGAGTCGAGGATCTGTGCTCGTGTCATGTGGATCTTAGGTCTGCTTCGTACTCGAGCATTTCAGGTCTGATCTGGAATCCAGGATCTTTGGTATGATCCGGCGCGGGGATCTCTGGTATGATCCTGAGTTTAGGATCTGTGGTATGACCCGCAGCCACGGATCTCGGATAACCCGGATCACGGATAACCGGGTCCCGCGGTGGGTCCTATTGGTGACGAAGCCTGGTTGGGAGGACTGTTTGTGTTACCCACGTGTCTGGCTGTTGCCATCGGTCATCCCAATTCTGAAAAGCGTGATCGATTGTCATCCGGTGATTGAATGGTTGTCTGTGTGTCATGTGTGAATGGCCCGTACATTTCGGTTATTAAGTCATTCGGTATTTATACATTTGTTCGGTGCATGACATTTCATGGAGGCATCCATAGTTGCACGACTGAGTCCCAATGGGCGCGGCCGAAATCAGTAATTCCAGAGTCGTTTGCTTGTCGTTCCATCATTGCTCCTTGTCTCGAGACGTGGTTACTGGGCCGCTTTGTATTTGGAGAAGGAACCACATGCCCAACTATTGGGATCGATGTAAAATCGGAGGACGTTTCAGGATTTGTGATTGTGTTCGTGTTCCTACACCAGGCTTATGTATTACATGAGACTCGCACAGTTGAATTAGACTCGTACATTTGCGTCAGACTCGTGCATTTACGTCATATTCGTACATTCACATGAGACTTGTGCATTTACATCATATCTGTATATTTGTATCAGGCCCGTACCTTTACATCAGACTCATGCATTTAGACTCGTACATTTACACCAGACTCATACATTTAGACTCGCACATTTACATCAGACTCGTGCATTCACACCAGACTCGTACATTGACCCATTTACTCGATTTATTGAGTTTACATCGTCATGCTCTCTGCGTCAGAGCAGGCAGAGTAGGCATGTTCACGCGAGTAAAACCGCTGCCAACGCTTGCCCATGCTGCGTCGCCCGTTCGAAGACGGGCCTCGTCAGTCAACCTTTCGAACCTGGTAACCCGTCCCTACTGATCGAACGCGGCCGTGGGAGTAGTCATGAGGCTGGGGATCCCGCACCGCTCCAGCAGGCTTCTCCGGATGTCCGGGTGTCGCTCCAGCAGGCTTCTCCGGATGTCCGGGTGTCGCTCCAGCAGGGTTCTCCGTATGTCCGGGTGTCGCTCCAGCAGGCTTCTCCGGATGTCCGGGTGTCGCTCCAGCAGGCTTCTCCGTATGTCCGGGTGTCGCTCCAGCAGGCTTCTCCGGATGTCCGGGTGTCGCTCCAGCAGGGTTCTCCGTATGTCCGGGTGTCGCTCCAGCAGGCTTCTCCGGATGTCCGGGTGTCGCTCCAGCAGGGTTCTCCGTATGTCCGGGTGTCGCTCCAGCAGGCTTCTCCGGATGTCCGGGTGTCGCTCCAGCAGGGTTCTCCGTAGTACGGGTGTCGCTCCAGCAGACTTCTCCGTATGTCCGGGTGTCGCTCCAGCAGGCTTCTCCGGATGTCCGGTTGTCGCTCCAGCAGGCTTCTCCGTATGTCCGGATGTCGCTCCAGCAGACTTCTCCGTATGTCCGGGTGTCGCTCCAGCAGGCTTCTCCGGATGTCCGGTTGTCGCTCCGGCAGGCTTCTCCGGATGTCTGGGGGGCCTCGCCTTTGTTTTCCACCTGCCGGATGCGGGGGCCGCCACCTTGACGCGCGTTGTGCCGCGGCGGGATGGTATCGTCGCGGATGCGGGCGCACTTAGCAAACCGAAAACCAAAGCCGTGGGAATAATGTGCGACGGTCGATCCAGGAGTCGAGTAAGGTAGTGGTCGAGGATAAACCGGGGTCCGGTGCATGCCACTCGAAATTCACTGTGGTAGCGAGAGTTGTCCGATTTCTTAGTTCCAACTAGCTGCCTTGTCCGTACTCAAACGAACATCGAGATTTTGTGCTCGCATGTAAGAAGACAAATCAGAATACGCAGGAAGACCCCAGCGTTAGCCCAGGTCCGCACCAGCCTGTTTCTGTACTAGTGTCAACATATGTCTTATGGACAGTTCAATATCCTTACGTCTCTCTGGTTGGTGGTGTGATGAGGGTCGGAGACGGAGGCGCTCCAGCCCGTGCCAGCTCGCTTTGAGGGCGTGTTAGTGACGGTACGGGCGTGCGCGTGATGGCCTGCACTCGGCGCCGCTGACTTCTGGCGTTTTTTTCAGATGGAGACGATCCTCAGTTCGAGATGGACATGTGAGCGGTGGAACCGACCTTGGCTCGCCCCGGGCCGGCGCCGCGCCGCGCCGCCGCGCGACGTCCACCTGCGCGCGCCATCTCTGCCTGGCGGCGGGAACCTGTGGTTGTGCTCGTGGCTCGCCAGGGCTGTGGAATCCAACGAGAGCGAACGAATTTGAGCGTCTCGGCTTTTGCTTCGCCGAATGTGCGGCCTATGAAAACGGGTTAGGAATGATTTAGCTCAAATTGTTCACTTAACAATGATAAACGATGTATTGGTTTGATGTTTTGGAGTCATTTGAGTGGGCTGATTTTGTGGCGCTATGAATTGCCGGTGCGACTGCTCGTACTGCGAAATACTGCTCTCAAGACGTGCTTCCCTGGGCGGTGCGCTGGCGTTTCAGTCGTGCTGCGTTCTGTTTAAAACATAATCATTTTCCGAGGAAGCATCGTATTTCTTTTTGCCGGCCGAGTGCTGCTGACCACGCGGCATGACACTGATTTGCGTGCCGCAGTCTTCCGACACGTTCGGCCTGAGTGGTGTCGTCCTGACGCTGCGCCGCGCTGTTCCGCCAGCTTCTCTGTGACACATCAGTGTTCAGTGGACCCAGTTTCAGTGTGTTGACGTTTTCGGTTTGGTTCCTCTGTTCTGGCTGGTAGCCGTTTTCTCTGTAGTGTTGGGGCCGGGCTCGTCGGGATTCGGCGCCGGCCGCTGCTGTCGCCGGCGCGCCTGCGAGAGCGTGCTGTTCCTGCCGGCGCCGGCTGGCCCCAGCTCAGCCGGTGGCCGTCGGCGTCGGTGTCGGGGCAGGCGGGTGTCGGCGCCGGTGTCGGGGCAGGTGGGTGTCGGCGTCGGTGTCGGGGCAGGGGGCAGGCGGGTGTCGGCTCGGCCCGGCCCGCCGCCCTACTCCGTAGCGGTCGGCCGCCGCCGCCGTGTGGTGCTGTCCGCCGGTCCCAGCCGGTTTGAAATATACGACCGTCTGGCGCGCGCTGCGTTTAGGGCACCTCCGGCCCGCGGATCGGGCAAGGAAGTTGGTCTGGGGGCGCCGTCGGTCCCTGTCACTCTGGCGTGATGACCACCCGGTCTGGGCTTTGATAAACCCATTGCACGAGCCATTCTCCGGTGATGTCTCCGCGCCCGCATCGTGTCGTGATATGCGATAAAAGCGAGCATCTCCTACGCGTATTTCCGAAATGTTGTTAAGTTTGCTTCTGGCGCCCCTGTAATTTGGTGTGCTTAGTTGAATTTTGAAATTACTGCCTTGCGGTAAGTGCCTTGACCTCGCATTTGATACCAGCTGACATTGCACAGACACACACACACACACACACACACACACACACACGCACGCACGCACGCACGCACGCACGCACGCACGCACGCACGCACGCACGCACGCACGTAGCTATTACGTGCCATTTGTGGAGCGATAAAAAACGACGGGAAAACACGGTGAGAAAAAACAACGGAAGGTGATGCGGGATAAGACGTACCAACACACGCGTACATATTCTGTACCGAAAAACCCCATTTCCCAAACAATGACACATCCACCTTTTGTTCACCCGCGGAAGTGACGTGAAAGGATGATATGTGTTTGCTTGTTGTTGCCTCACAGTACTTTTACATGTCAGTGCATGTCAAAATTTGTCCAGACGCCAGTCCTGTCAGGATGACGCGCCCCATTACCCGCTTCGCTGTGCCCCGCCCCTCCCCCCCCCCCATCCCTCTCCATGCCATCGCAGGCGGTTTTATCGTGCGAGGTGGCAAAAAATGCACATTCGCCCGCGATGGCACGGTCCTCTCGTGATGACGTCTGTTGATTCGCTTCACCTTGTTCCTGTACTTAGCTGAACAGTCGTATGTGACGCAGTGCGCGTTACACAGGCTACAGTGTCTTGAGATGATGTGGGGCGCAAGATGGAGTAGAATAGTTCGTACTGGACCGTTCATGTGATGGGAAAGTCATACAAAAAGTTAGGTTTTTGTGAACCCAGGTCAATGGCGAAAGGGTGTGCGCTGCGCATTATCCCAGTCAAAGCGTTGGGAAGAGTCCCACGCCAAACCGCCGGTATATGACCCCGGCAGAGTACGGCTGCGTCGCAGGATGAGAGACAAGAACTCAAAGACGCGATTTTCGTGGTTTTATTGGCGCGTTGTTCCAAAACCTTGCAATAGTGGCGCTTTGAACGCGAGGCCCAGGCTTAATCCCCGCCGCAATCAGGGCTTAATCCCCGCCGCAATCAGGGCTTAATCCCCGCCGCAATCGGGGCTTAATCCCCGCCGCAATCGGGGCTTGATCCCCGCCGCAATCTGGGCTTAATCCCGCCGCAATCGGGGCTGAAGCACTCACTGCCTTCTCATCGATGGCTTCAACATGTCTCTCCACAAAAGCAGGGATGAGTGGCGCTTCGCTGGTTAAGAACCGCATCGCATGACGTCTCGTGGGACGTAACACGCGGGGAAAGGACGAAGCGGGAGAGATGAACTGCTGGGCCGGCAACTGGCGTCTCACACGGCGCCCACGTTCCCCATGGCGACGTTGTTGTAGCGTCGGTCGCGCGGCCTCAGCTGATGGTCAGCCAGACCTTGAGGCGAAGAGACTGCACGCCATTTCTGAAACGCAGGCCAGCATGGCCGAGTAAGGCCGCTGGACAGCTTTGTGTCCCCCTCCCCCCCCCCCCCCCACTGCAACGTACGTACAGGTGAAGCTGGGTTTTACGTGCACGTTAATTCCCACGCGCAGGAGGTTCATCACAAATGGGGACATGTGGTCGTATCCCAGGCAGGTACAAGATCATGCAACAGGGTTGGGAAGGGCAATGAGACTATGCTATTCCGCGAAGTGTCAGTGAAGTTAAAGCACTAGTCCGTCGTGATCGAAGCTATGCGCTGGAAAGCGACATGAATGACGAAAGCCACCGTACGCAGCCGTCCATGAAATGCATGGACGAGCAACCCTAATGAGCGAAAATCGCATTGTCGCTCATTAGGGTTGCAAAGTCGCATTGCTGCTCAAGCATCTGCCACGTTTCATGAAAAATACCCGGTTTCAAAGAGGACAGGAAAGCGGCATCTGAGGCCCTGGCAACGGCAGTTTTTTATTACATATTTCATATTTTATATTATTTCAGATTTTTCGCCGTTTATTATATATTATTATCATATGTTTTGCCGTTCATATCTCACGAGTGCCTTTTTTATTCAATTTCATATTATTTCGTACATATTTCCGCGCAGCGTTTCTGTTACGCCGTATTTCATTACGTAAGATTCGGAGAACCATTGCGACCGAACGCCTGCTGAGGCGCCCACCAGATGGACCCCTGTAGGTGTACTCTCACATCTGGAGGAGCCGGTAGAGTTTCCCCCCGCCTGCTCCAGGGTATACCGGGCCTCTCCCAACACGTAGCGCCGCTTACACCAGACGTCACACACGCACACGCACACGCACACGCACACGCACGCACGCACACACGCACGCACGCACGCAAGCACACACACACGCAAGCACGCACGCACGCACGCACGCACGCACGCACGCACACACACGCGCACGCACGCACGCACGCACGCACGCACGCACGCACGCACGCACGCACGCACGCACGCACGCACGCACGCACGCACGCACACACACACACACACACACACACACACACGCGCGCGCGCACACGCACACGCACACGCACGCGCATACGCACCTGTCGCACGCTGCCCGGCTGCTTGCAGAAGATTATCACCGCGGAAATGACAACCACCAGCAGCGTGATGATGAAAGCCGCTAGTTGAATCAGGTCATGGTTATATGTGGAAAGGGTGAAGAACCACGCGATCAGCATCACCTGTGAAAGAGAGGTCTTGCCGTAAGGACATGCCAAGAAACACACACGTTCATCGTCAAAAATTCGGTCCGGACGGAGACGTTGACGGAAATGTGAATGTAAAAGACTCACGACGACTACTACGCAGATCAGCTTAACAAACGAGGGCAAAGATCACAGGCAGAGTTTAAGGAAACAGGGAGAGTGATCGCGATCTTTGCGCGATGCAGAAACATCCCTTATTGTTGATGGGAAGGAAGCACGAGGGGGAAACGTATCTGGCGATAGAATGCGTGCGTCTGGTGATACAAGGCTTGGTTCAAATATGCCCACACGGCGGCATCATTTCAAGCGAACAGGTCGTTCACCCATCGGCACATGCTGCATAAAAGGGCACTTGGCACGTTTGCGCAGCAAGGACATTTAGCACATGTACATAGCAGCTGGGATTAAAACTCGAGCTGCTGAGGCCGAACTTCGAAACACCGCTGATCTTACGGCTTACTGATGTCATCACCAACGACTATCTACCAGCTTCCCTGGCATCGCACAACAGGTCGAGGCTACAGGTTGAGGCTAACCACGCACAACAGGTCGAGGCTAACGATGTGGCTAACAAGAGGCTAGCACGCTAACGATGTGGCTAACGAGGCTAACACGCACACAGTGGAATGCAAAACGCGGCGTCGGTGTTTTGTAGAACTCGTGTAAGACCCGCGGTACTTTTAAGCAGGGGCTTGGGCCGAAGCTGCAGTGTGGTGCCTTCAATCTGTGTGTGTTAACGCAACTTCGGTTCTTTGCTGGTTTTGGAGGAGCAACGCCGATGCATCTGCCGATTTTAGGACTTTGATTGCGCATTCATCGTCATTTTAGAATGTTCCCCACGCTGGTGATCGTCTAAAAGCAATGGCACGGCATAATATGTTGATCGGATTTCTCTGCCATCAGCAGCCTCCAGATTGCATAAGGAGGCTGGGAATCGCTGTTCTTTGCGTCACTTCCCTTGCCACTTTGTACTGTTTACGTTATTTCCCATTCCTATACCAACACCCCGTGCCTGTTTGGGACAGGGGGACCAGAACATGGACCTGGAGGTCAATATCATACCCAGTGCCTGTCACACACCGTACAGCAGGCCGTGCGACCTACCTCCGTCCAACAGCAAGGCCTCTTTACCGCACTTTACGGAACCCGGTGGCGCAGCTAGCCAGCCCAGAGCGTTGCCCGCCGCAGAGGAGCGCTGAGCGCTGCCCGCCACAAAAGAGCGCTGAGCGCTGCCCGCCGCAGAGGAGCACTGAGCGCTGCCCGCCGCAGAGGAGCGCTGAGCGCTGCCCGCCGCAGAGGAGCGCTGAGGGCTACCCGCCGCAGAGGAGCGCTGAGCGCTGCCCGCCACAAAGGAGCGCTGAGCGCTGCCCACCACAGAGGAGCGCTGAGCACTGCCCGCCACAGAGGAGCGCTGAGCGCTGCCCGCCACAGAGGAGCGCTGAGCGCTGCCCGCCGCAGAGGAGCGCTGAGCGTTGCCCGCCGCAGAGGAGCACTGAGCGCTGCCCGCCGCAGAGGAGCGCTGAGCGCTGCCCGCCGCAGAGGAGCACTGAGCGCTGCCCGCCGCAGAGGAGCGCTGAGCGCTGCCCGCCGCAGAGGAGCGCTGAGCGCTGCCGGCGCAGAGGAGCGCTGAGCGCTGCCCGCCGCAGAGGAGCGCTGAGCGCCGAGACTTACGAAGAGAAGTAGCGGTGTGACGACCGCCCAGAAGATGAGGGGGTAGGGGCAGCAGCAGCAGCCCTGCATGGCGGCCCAGTTGGCCTGGAAGCGCATGCCGCCGTACATCCAGCCCACCGCCACACACTGCAGCAGACTGAGCAGCGCCATCAAGCCGTAGCTGCCACAGAAGCTGCTCAACTGGCCAATGGATTGCATGGCGCCCTGGCGACAGACAGCAGCGTTAGAGAGAATGATGTTACGAACGGCATGGTATCAAATGATGCCTCAAAGATGATGATGATTGGGGTTTTAGGGCGCGCCGACTCCTGGGGCCGTTTTGCGTTCAGGTTGAATGCCTCGAAGGAGTGAGAGCTACCCCCGCTGTCATAGGCAGGCGACGCCATGTAGCCTCAGCAGCTGAGTGCGTCGTGAAGCCCCAGTGACACACATGACACGCACACACACACGAACGATGCCCACTTGGACACCCGTCCTGTCGCCATCATAAACTTACAGCAATGAGTCGGGGCGTCTGTCCGCGACTGTGCGCAACCTAGGCGACACGCCCTAGCGTCTGAATGTTTTGGCACGAAAATTCTCGCCGGAATAAGGGAATTTCGGCGCGCTTGCATCATGATTCACATGTTCGGTTTCTGTACGCCTGATCGCCATCTCAGTTCTCATCCACTGAGGCGTTCTCGTGGCGGAAAAATATAGCGTTTTGTCCTCCTCTAATTTATGGCGCCGGAGACTGGAACGCGTCAGAGGCTGCGACATTACATACATCGGGTGAATTATTTGCCTCGAATATGCTTCTCAGCGCGGTGCAGAACGATAGCCCGGAGATAAAGCAGGGCACAGCGAATACGCTTCTTACCACGGTGCAGAACGATAGGCCGCAGATAAACCAGGGCACAGCGAAAACGCTTAGCAGGACCGGCTTCCTGCGCAGCACGCGAAACCTGAAACAAACCAATGCATGCCCTCCATTTGCTGCTACCACTGGGAACTGCATGCTTCTACAGACGTCGTAATACTTCACTTTGTTCTTAACATGAACTCAAAGTATCAGGTAAATACCGGGCCTCAAATAAAGATATAAATTAGCAGCTTTGGGATAGCCCTCCCCATTTTCTTGCAGTTTTTCTGTTTCGTTTTACATTTCGCTATGATGTAATCCACTCATCATATTATGTACTGCTTCATGTCCATAATCGAAAATAAAAGTGCAACATCAAGCAAACAAACATTCCAGCCAACTCGATTTGCTGAGATTTTTTCGGGGCTGTCGAAAGATGGCGTGACGTTCGCGGCGCAGCAGGCGGAATGGTGCCGCTATCCCGCTCCAGTCACGGAGTCTGCAGAGGCGCGGCACATCGCAGGCCCCGGCCGTCGCTGTGTGACTGTTCAGGCGGACTCCCGAGGCTGGGGCAGGCTCCCCCCTCGGGCAGACTCCCAAGGCTGGGGTGGACTCCCCCTTCACTCTGGCGGACTCCCGAAGCTGGTGTGGACTCCCTCACCTCGGGTAGACTACCGAGGCTGGGGGCGGACTCCCCTCACTCGGGCGGACTGCCGTAGCTGGGAGCGAACTCCCTTCGGGGACTCCCCTCCCTCGGGCGGACTCCCTTCCCTCGGGCAGACTCCCCTCCCTCGGGCAGACTCCCCTCCTTCGGGCGGACTCCCCTCCTTCGGGCAGACTCCCCTCCCTCGGGCAGACTCCCCTCCCTCGGGCAGACTCCCCTCCCTCGGGCAGACTCCCCTCCCTCGGGCAGACTCTCCTCCTTCGGGCAGACTCCCCTCCCTCGGGCCAGACTCTCCTCCTTCGGGCAGACTCCCCTCCCTCGGGCGGACTCCTTCCCTCGGGCAGACTCCCCTCCCTCGGGCAGACTCCACTCGCTCGGGCAGACTCCCCTCCCTCGGGCAGACTCCCCTCCTTCGGGCAGACTCCCCTCCCTCGGGCAGACTCCCCTCCCTCGGGCAGACTCCCCTACCTCGCGCAGACTCCCCTTTCTCGGGCGGACTCCCCTCGCTCGGGCGGACAAGCCTGCGCGGCGACTGCAGGCCGTCATAGATGACAATCGGCACGAGCCGGGCGAGCAATGCAGACAGAACATAGCGCAAAAGGGATGCAGGGAGAGGTGCTGCGCACGGCAGAAAATGGCAGGGATTGAATTACCTGAACTGAATGAGATCGTGAGCGGTGAATTATGACGAGATCAGTCAGCGTCTACCGGGATGTGCGGGACGCTGTCAACACCGCTTTAGAGTTAATGGGGAAGGGGAGAGTGTGCGGGTAAATCTTCTTCCCGGACATTGCTAGCATTTGACGACCTACCTCTCAGGAAGCACGCAATCTTCGATTGCGAAGTCAAGCCTTCCTCAAAAAATGAAATCCTCGCCGGGGCCGGGATGGAGCAGGAATGGAGGGGGACGGGGGCTCCAGGGTGGTTAACCGAGACTCTCCACATCCCTGTCACCACATCAAAGCGCATTTTCACGGCGCGCCTATCTCTGAACCTGTCACCGATCCTGTCTAGCCCTGGATTGGACCCAGACACCGGACTGGGCCGCTTCGTCGCGCGCAGCCACTCGCTGCTGTGGCATGAGAAGACGCACACGTCAGGGGACAGTGACAAGGCCAGGCTTGTGATGCTGCCCAGGCGTTCGAGGGTGCGCGTCCAATTAGTGTTCCGCGTGCCGGGTCGGAGTGTGGGCGACCCGGCGCCGGTCCACTGGGGAGGTATCGTCCACCACGTGCCGGTCCACTGGGGAGGTACCGTCCACCACGTGCCGGTCCGCCGAGCCGAGTACTGTCCGCCCTAGTTACTCCAGAACACGTTACCTGCTAGGGCGGTCTTTAGCCTTCACCTACCCCGCCTCTGCCAGTTAGTTACCTGGGCTGAGCCAGCTGATCATTTCATCATACGAACAGTAATTTGGACATAACAACAGTAATTTAAATACAACGATGCAATGACTACTACAACAACAATAATGATAATTTTCACATGAATTTATGAGTGTTTTATATATATATATATATATATATATATATATATATCAGGAATTTCGACCATCTTTTCGGCAGGTATGAACAAACACATCAGGCTTTTTTGTTGTTGTTTGATATTGCGCTTGCGCATCCGATAATATGTAGTTTTATGACGGCTTTTTATGGTGTGCATGCACCCGCGTCGGATGGACACACGAATATCAGCATGTATCTGACAAAAGTCATCGACGTCTGGACCGAGAGGGAGACGTGTGGATAGTCTGTCGTCACCTCCCCCCCCCCCCCCCCCCCCCCCACGGGGGCGACGGAATGTCTCTGGCAATGAAGCAGCCTCACCTCGGGTGGAAGGTAAGAGGTCCCCACAGCCGCTTACCTCGGGGTGGAAAATAAGTGGTTGCACACAGCGGCTTACCTCGGGGTGGAAGGTAAGAGGTCCTACACGGCGGCTTACCTCGGAGTGGAAGCTAAGGGGTCCCACACCGCGGCTTACCTTGAGGTGGAAGATAAGAGGTCCCACACAGCGGCCTACCTTGGGGTGGAAGGTAAGAGGTCCCACATGGCGGCTTACCTCGGGGTGGAAGGCAAGAGGTCCCGCACAGCGGCTGTCACCGATTCGACTATCCAGAGAGCCTCGTTCAGCGACAGCAGGAAAGCGCTGATGAGGACGCAGGCCGCCCAAAAGCCTCCAGACGGCGGGACCACCAGCAGGATGTCCGTCAGCAGGGCGAGCGTGCTTGCACCATTGCCTGAGGAACGTACGCCAAGCTGTCGGTGGATGCGGCGGGGCCCTGTGAAGTGTCTGGAGCTGTTTATCATTTAGTTCAAGCGATTCGCTTTTAACATAGACGCCCAGCGGTCGGTGCATGTGCATGGAATGTGAGGCATGTAGCGGACGCGTGTCAGCTGACGTAATGGATCTTGGTTCGCCTAGTTTCGCACGCAGTTCTTTACAGGACCGGTGGGAACAGGGCGGGGTTCCAGGAAAGCGAGTAAGCGTTCCTCGTTTTCAACATACGAAGTTAGAACTTCAGTGCTGAAAAACAGGAATTTACGGCCTTTCTCGCTCACGTTAAGCGGCGTCAGGCTTTCGTTAAGCTACAGATATGTACCTCACCTGACTTGTGTTGAAAACACTCGCCGTTCTCACCTGTTTGGACCCGACACGTATCTCACCGCCCACCTCACAAGGAAGCCGACTAGCCAACGAGGTAAAAGCCAGGCAATGACGCCACCGAATCGATGCCAGCGCTATTCCGAATATAACAATCCTTTTGAGGGAAACTGCTATCTGTGTATTGCCGCTTTGCGCTGCATGCTGGACGAAATTTAGTGGCCAGAGTACTACGCATTGTGTTTAGTTTCCCTCGATCCGCGTACCACAATACACTGTGTATTGTAGATCCATGGCGCGTCACTTTTGGTGCGCCCGGAATGATAACATCTTTCGCCGCCCTACTGAATTTGGCTCGGACCGTACTACGCGTAGGACCAGTGATGAAGTGCCCTAGTGACTCGGGATCTGGTGCTGATCTCCATGTGCAGAGCCTAGTGAGCATTGGCGCTGGTATCTTCGCCATAAACATTGAAAAGACCAATTTTTCTCTTTAACCAACCGTATTTCGTA